AGAAGGGGAAAATTATGCGGAAAGAGGTAGTCATTCATTTGAAAAATTATACAAAAACTTTAACTGGAGAAGGGCTGTAATGTTAAGATTGCGTAAAAATTGATAAGGCTCACACAAATGAATAGAAAGGAAAGCTAAATTATTGTGTACTATGTGTAAAGAGCTGATCGAGGCTCGAAGACGTGTAATATGAAAAAGCACACACATACTGGGGAGAAGCCATATTCTGGTGAAACATGTGGGAAGAGCTTTTTGAGAGCGAGTCATTTGGAAAGCCATACACAAACAAAATCATACTAGGGATAGGTGATATTTTGGAAATCATGTCAAAACGATTTTTCGAGTGCGATTCATTTCAGGGGAACTCATAGTGGAGAGAAGCCGTAATTTTGTGAAATTCTGGAAAGAGCTACGGATTAGCATGTAATTTTAAAGGGCATACACAAACTCATACTAGAAAGAGGCCATAATATTGTGAAACATGTGGTTAAAGCTTTGCGATAGCGTGTAATTTAAAAGTTGCATCAACAAACGTATTCTGGGGAGTGGTCATATTTTGAGTGGCCTTTGAATTCTCGGAAAGAAATTGTATAGTTGTAGATTGTTCATGTCTACTAACAAAGAAAAATATAATGCAACAAGAAAAATACTTGCTTTATTTGGCAAGTTTATGTCAATATTGAATTTCACTCTTAGATACATTCAGCACTAAGCGAACCACAAGTCAATTTGCCGTGGAGATTCATGTTAAAATTTTTGTAATATTAAACCATATTTTGGGAAGAGATTTGCGATAGCGAGAAATTTGAAAAGCAAAAAGTCATACACAAACTCAGACTGAAGAGAGGCCGTATTATTGTGGAACATGGGGAACGAAATTCGCGAGAGCGTATAAGTTGAAAGGGCATTCTCAAACTCATACTGAAAAGCAAAAAGCCATACGCAAACGCATACTGGAGATTGGCCGTTTTTTTGTGAACATGTGGGATTTTAAAAGTCGTACATAAACTCATACAGGGCAGGTTATATTATTGTAAAAACGTTTAAAAATGCCTCGCTATAGCATGTAATTAAAATAGTAATACACAAGTTAAAAATTGGGAAGAGATATATTCTTGGAAAAAAATTCACGATAGCGCGTAATTCGAAAAAGGCATACACAAACTTATACCGAAAGGAGGCTTTATTATGGTGTAACATGAGACAAGGGCTTTGCGATAGCAGGTAATTAGGAATGAAATACAAACTCATACTGTGGAAGGGCCCTAATTTCGTAAAACTTTTGATAAAATCTTTGCGAAAGCGTGTAATTTGAATAGACGTAAACAAACTCATATTCGGGACATTGCAAATCGCAAAATTTTGGATGCTACCATACCAGGGCATTTTCTCTTAGGAATCTTTGCTTTACTGCCTCCACACTGGTACGTACAGTACTGCCGTAGGTGTTGTACAAACAGCTCAGATTTGACGAATTCACACAAAAAAGAATCAAAAAACAAATGACTTGCTCTCGAAAACATTTTTTTTACGTTTTGCCTTTTTGTTTGCGCCTCTCCATTATAAACGCTTTGGCTTTCCCCTTCTTTATCTTTGTCAATGCCTGTTCAAACTGCATGCCATGAAAGAGCTCTTTGTAGATGGTTTTCTAGAATGGCGAACCTTTCCGATGAATGGGTCAAAAATTATATTTTTTATATTTTTTTTTGAACAACTGAAATTAATCATGTTCGACATTATCTACCCAATTTATTACACCCTGGTTAAGGTGGTGTAACCATGATGTGTAACCAACGATCTCAACACAACGAAGTCTAACACTTTAAACTGGGCATGTAATTTTCATTGCTGAATATTTGTAATTTCTCGCCTTTATCTTCAAATTCCTTCAGTACTTCGCTTGTTAAGCTTTCCTCAAAGCAGCCCACAGTATTTGCACGATAAATAAAGCTTTTACTGCTACATATCATTATACACGAAAGTAACTTGATACAACGTAAACAAACAGCGAATAACCATAGGTTGGGAAACACTGCTTTAATGCATTGTGCTGAGCTCCATAAACCTGTATCACTCTGGTGAGTGCTCTGAGCTGACTGAGTGGGTTGTAGATTCAAATTTTGAGAGAGTGATTAAGTGTGACGGGATTGGGACTTTGTGGACACCCTTTATATATCTTGATTTCTCCACGGAATGAATGATAGGTTTATGGTTGCAACAGTTCACCGAAATTTTTTTTTTGATTGACAACTTTGCACTGCCTGTGAATGTGATTGAGTTTTCTGGAACTCCAGAAAATTGAAATTGAACTTTTTTTATTTTATCATCTGGTTTTATTTTATATATACCCAGTTGGCACCTGTCATTGGTAAATCAAGGATTTTCAGGCTTCTAAGTCACAAAACAATTAATCTAAATCAGCGCTATCCAAACGGGGAGCCCCCTGCGTGGTCGCACAACAAATTTTAGAGGTCGTTAAGAGTACAGCAATTTTACACAAAGTACTCGATCTAGCAGGAGTAACAGTGTCAACTTTGATTCTTTGCTGAATTCGATCACTAACGCATAGGAGCAAGTAACAAAACTTAGAACCTTGCCGTTGTTGGCCAAACATCGATATTCATATCCCTTTGCTGGTGCAGCGAAGATTTTATTTGGGTCGGACATCCTTTCTCCATAAGCTAACACTAAATTCTGTTGTGATATACTGACTAACAGTTAACATTGAATGGCGTTCAAGCAAGCATATCAACAAAAGTATTTATTTTAAACATTTTATTCTCCCGTCAGTGTGAAGGCTGTACCTGTCGGGAGTGTTCTGTGAAACGGTGATTAAAATTGCTAATAAATTGGGCAACATGGCAATTTTGGCCGTACTATTATTCTATATGGTATTAGACCTGACATGGGGCAAAGTACGGCCCGCGGGCCAAGTACGGCCCGTTGGGTAATTCAATCTGGCCCGCCTGATGCTGCCACATCCTAACTAAAAACAAATTTTGACGTTTTAGCTAAAGAAATAACTTGAAGAATTTGTTGAGATTGCGGTTAAATTTAGTCTTGGTGCGAGGCTTATTGTTTTCCCCTTCTGTTTTTGTAACACCTAAATATTATTCACAAATTACGACTTTTAACGCCACACCTACATGGCCCGCCAGCCTAAGTGGGCAAAAATTTTTGGCCCCTGGTCTAAAAACCTTGCCCCCCTCTGTATTAGACAGTCGTATAAAATAGAGTTATAGAAAACTCTGTCTCCCAAGTACTTAAAAATCGCCTCAAGGAGTCATGAACCCAAGTTAGAGATTCCCTGCCCAAGATCCAAAGTCAATATTTTACTCTTCTACTTCATTAAATTGAATCTGTATTTTTTTTAGCGAAGAGACAGAAGGAAAATACAAGTAGGTCCATGGTGTCCACACTTTCATTGACTCAACTCATGGCTGGGGATGTCCATATCGTATTAATTTGATATTCAGATTTGGATTTATAACCGATTCCAAACAATTCTAAGTCAATTTATTTGTGTAAAAAGCATTATGCTGAATTTCGGTTGAAAAATTCGAACAATTATCATCAGATTGGAAACATTTCAAAAAAAAAAGAATTGGGATTATTTTTAAATTTTTGAAAAATTGTTTGATGAGAATTTGTGTGCCTTCATATAAGCATACAATATACATTTTTTTTGATAATTATTTTCCGCCCTTATCCATTATTACGAAAATTTGTTTCCATCAAAAACTTATGTGCAAGAGGTTCAATTTTTGAATCAAAGTGGTATTTTAGACATGGACTAACAAAATTCTTTAATAAAGTTAGGCATTCTGACTTTACTATTTTTTTATGACAACTAATTTTAAGGACATCCCTGCCCACCTACCTCACACATGGCACTGTCACGTTCAACTCTCATTATTGCATTCATCTTTCACCATTTCTCATGTCATTCATCTCTGCACTCAATTTCTCAAACCTTACTCATTTCTAAAAAATTAGAAACTAATCCAAAATTCAATGTTAGTATCGTTGAGGTTTGAATTTATGCAGAGCTATTAAACAAAGAATATTTTCAAAAAATGACAACCGAGTTGTAGAGCAGGGAGGGGTGAGCAAGGTTTTTGAACCAGGGGCCGAAAATTTTGCCCACCTAGACTGGCGGGCCATGTAAGTGTTACGTAAAAAGTTACATTTTATAAACAATAGTTACAGTGTTACAAAAGGAAAAGTCGAAAACAATGAGCTTCGTGCCAAAACAAATTTAATCGCAATCTCAATAAATTCCTCAGCAATTTTTCAGCTAAAACATCAAAATTTGGTTTCAGTTTGTTAGGGCAAGATTAAGCGGGCCAGATTGAATTACCCAACGGGCCGGATTTGACTTGCGGGCCGTAGTCTACCCATGTCAATTGTAGAGGGTAGCAGATCTCAAACTGACATTAATTGTGTAGTCTTGTGTGACTGATTGTGGTGATGGTGAGTCGGCAATGGCCGACTGCCCTTTCCCGCCAATATGCTTTTGTGGTCATTGCGTGATTCAGCACAATGATACAAACATTTCACTCTTAATTGAATTTTATTTTATTCATTCTCACGTATAACAACATCTATAATTTGTTTATCCCTGAATTATTTTTGAAGTTGGATATAAGAGGCATCCTTATGAGAAACTCGCCCAGTGCAGCAGAAAAGTTTGCCAAACCCACATCACCACTAAGTAAAAAAAAATGTCTTGTAACCTGTTTTCCTATAGTCAGCCAGAAGCTGATGCCGAAGAGATTAATCTTGGGGCTGTAGGGGTTGTCGAAGAGAATCAACCAATTGCAAACGAGGCAGAACCCATAGCTAATGGAGAACCGTATGTTGGTTAATAGTGTGGTTGTTGTTTATGTCAGTTGTTGGTCAAGGCATCAGTTGTTAGTCGTGGCATCAGTCGCTGGTCTTGGCATCAATTGTGGCAGTAGTTGTTAATTGTTAAAAAAATGTCTTGTAACCTGTTTTCCTATAGTCAGCCAGAAGCTGATGCCGAAGAGATTAATCTTGGGGCTGTAGGGGTTGTCGAAGAGAATCAACCAATTGCAAACGAGGCAGAACCCATAGCTAATGGAGAACCGTATGTCGGTTAATAGTGTGGTTGTTGTTTATGTCAGTTGTTGGTCAAGGCATCAGTTGTTAGTCGTGGCATCAGTCGCTGGTCTTGGCATCAATTGTGGCAGTAGTTGTTAATTGTGGCATTAGTTGGTAATTGTGGCATTGTGTGTTGTTACATGTTATGTATTGATTGTGGTATTAGGTGTTGGTCGAGGCATATGATGTTAATCGTGGCACTAAATATTAAGCATCTGTCGATGACTGTGTCATTGTTTGTCGGTCGAGACCCTATCTTTTGGTTGTTTGTTAAAGTATGATTGTGGCATTAGATGTTGTAATTTCACTATTTATGGATTGTGGCATTGGTTGTTGTTTAGGGCATCTTGTGTTGACCGTGGCATTGACGGCTGGTCGAAGCATCATTTGTTGGTTGTGGCTTTGTTTGTCGGTCAAGGCATTATTTTTTGGTTGTTGTTAAGGCACGATTGTGCCATTAGATGTTGTAATTACAATATTAATTAGTTGTCGGTTAGGGCATCTGATGTTGAATGTGACATGGATGTTGTAATTTCACTATTTATAGATTGTGGCATTAGTTGTCGGTTAGGGCATCTGTTGTTGACCGTGGCATTGGATGTTGTATTGGTTGTGGGCTGTGGCATTAGTTGTCGGTTAGGGCATCTGTTGTTGTTGACTGTGGCATTGAATAAAGGTCAAGGCGGAATTGTTGGCCGGGGCATTGGATGTTGTGGTTTTACTAAGAACTGGTTTTGTAAATCGAGGCGCCAGTTGGTAACTATAAACTAGATAATGATATTCAGTTTTCCTAATATCTCTTATATACATGTCATAAATAACATTCGCCCTGAACAAGGCCCTGTACTGCGGCCACTGATATCTACCTATCTGTAAGGAGTTCCATGCTAATCTTTGATGATCGGAATTACGACAATAACATAGCCGCTCGAAACATATACATTGATTTAAGCTGTATCAATTGGAAATGTAATAAGACTCAACGTAAGAAACTCATTTCAGTGCAATCGGCAAACTCGCTCCAATAGATGAGCAGACCCCTCTTCGTAATGACAATGATGGGCTTGACTCAGCACTGACACCTAGTGGGAACGGAAAGGCAGAGGTGCCGCAGGAACCTGATGAAGAAAAAGTAGAAAAGTGAGAGAAATGCGAAAAGCAATATTTACACGTTTTGTCTCCCCCTTTTTACAAACGTTATTCATGCTTTTCACTCCTAACAAGGCCCTTTGCGAGCAACCACTGATATTTAACAACATGTCAAGAGCTACCATACATTTGGAAGGAATCTTTTCTATTCATCTTGGATGAGACGAGGCATGTGATCTGCGATGCCAACACAATTTTATTATATAAATATAGATACGTTAAATCAGTCAGAAGGTTGTGTGACATTAAATACCCCATATATGACGGTTCATTTCATTGTATCATCTATGTACATTGTACATGCTTGGTTAGACCATGTTCTGTTAGGCGGGGCCAAGCATGATCAGAGTTACACAACAACTTATCATTCATTGTTTCATCATAGAACCAAATCACCCGAAGAAGAAAAACTTGTCAAAACAGAAGAGAATGGAGAAAAGGCATGATGATGTCACAAGCACTACTGTCATGATGTCACTATCATATTTATTATGACTTCATAAATGCACTAAGTTTTATGTGTCATGTACATAGTGACACAACAGAGACTAATCAGAGAGCTGAAAACTAACATGACATCTTTATTTATTTCCGTTGCCATAGCAACTTATTATTTCTGCATGTCATATATTCATCTGTGTCATATTTCTGAATGTCATAAACAACTTTTGTTCAGTATTCATCGGTTAGGCATTGCAAAATAGGGTGGAAGCATGAAAATATCGTAGACGATAAAGATTAAAATACCTAATACACTGTAGTCTGACTACAGTTGCCGATTTCAAATTATTTTCATACAACGTAACAGAGTGCTTTGCAAGCAGCCACTGATAAATGAACACTATTATATTTGGAAAGGCTGTATCTTCCTGTTTCAGCATTGTGTATCAAATATATCAACCTGGGTTAGCGGATGGACATATGATTGCCCCAAATTTTTCTTTATATAATAATTATCAAGACCAGTCTGGCTACACAATTACCACATAGCTTATAATTTTTCTGGAGAAACAAGCGCACTTTTTATTTTGTATTATGATTTCATTTGTAAATATTCATTCGTGTAAAGTTCCTCCTGTATGATTATTTCTATGTTTATATCTTATTTCCTCATTTTTATGACATAACAGAGCATTCCAGATAAACAATGCTCCTTATTATTTTGTCACAGTGTTAAAGAAGAATCTTGAAATAATCGCGGATGAATATCCAAGAATTGAAGTTTGAGTGTGAAAAGGACTAATTTGGGTTATGGGACTGATTTTTTCTTGGGGCGAGATTTGCTTTTGTATATTATTTGTGAATATACCTTGAGTGTCCAATACTTTTCTTTGGTGTAGAATATTTTGATGCTTATTGTGGGTTGTGGTGTAAAAAGGAGGATTTTTCACAGCCCATGAGGTTATTATGACATCATTAATGTCACGTTTTCTAATGTTATGCCACTTTTTGGACAATTTAAACTTGTCAAATTTTATTCTCTTGTGGTTCATTTCCAGCGTCGAAAGAAATCTTAGGCCTTTTCAGGATAACTTTGAATATCATAGCTTTTTCTTTCATCAAAAAATTAATAAATAGGGTAAAAGTGTTAATGTTTATTTTTTCAAGTTAAACTTCCAAAACTTGGTTCAGCATCAGGCCTAAATTTCCTCTACTTTCTATTTGTAATTGATGAGGTTTCTCTGGGAGTTGTTGTAGGCACATTGAAAAAATCCTGAAGGCCCATATAGTCCTGAGGTACCAGGTTTAGAAACACTGCCTTAGACTCTTTTCCCACCATTCAAATTCCAAGCATACGCCTTGCATATTTTGCCCTAACAAGATTTTTCAGTGTTCTACGTATTGTTGCCATCATTTTTTGTAACAATGTCTTCATTCCAATATTTTAGTACCAACAATTTTGCAGTTATATGCGTGTTCTTGCCGTTTTGGTTCTTACCGTTCTTTAATTTGGACACACTGTAATGTATAAGCGCATTATTCATTTTAATAAAAATGTTCTAAATTCAAGGCTTTCCCCCGTATCTCTCATTGAGGCGTTTTATCGACTATACAAAGACATTAATATCCTAACTACTCTCACAGAAATTACCTGATCTACACTTGAACTTCTGTTTATGCACCCAAAGGTTCGAGCAATCTAGCACGCTTTGAACAAAAGTTATATTCTCCCTAGAATATGTTCCGAATTAACTGATTTCGGCTTTTTAGCACAAGGGTCCGAGTCATCTATTTCGCTGTGGGCAATTACCGATTATCTAATGCCATGTTTTTCTCGAGATAATGCTATTATTTTTAAAAACTAATAGCTGTAAAGTGTAACTGTTTTGCTTTTAAGCAGTAATATATTGTTTGCATGAAATTTTCATTTTATGTAATTTTTGTTTTTAATCAATAAAATCTTTGTTTGAAGATCGTTGGTTGCTCGCACAATGGTTAAATAAAAACGCGCTTGTGATTTGTATGTACTTTCTGTAATTAATACCGTAATCAAAGACTCACTGAGGTCTTGCCATGTTAATAATAGCATTTTATAGATAGTGTGTTTCGTAAATGGAATGCAGCTAAAACAGCACCAGATAGGCTACAAGGCGATAACTCCAATGTATGCTGGCAAATACAAATACCTTTCATTGCAAATCATAACTTATCTGACAAGACTGTCATAACTATATGTAAAGTAGGCGATCAAAATCAGTTACCTCCATATTAGTACACACATTTCTGAAGCGGCTGATTTATATGAAGAGTTTTTTGCGTAGTTACTTTAAAAAGGGGATGTGCAGGTTTGGAACGACCGGAAATTGTAGCGGTACAACCTAGATGAGGGACCCATTGAATCTGAACCCAAAATTCCGAATGTGCCGTATTTCACTCCACGGCATTCGAATTCGACAACTGAGGCCTAGTTTCCATCAAACAGAGAAAAAACTCACACAATACGACATTAAAGCTCATCGGTATATTTATACTACGCAATTCAAGAGTGCTGCCACACTAACACATATGTGTAGCAGGACTCTTGAATTGCATAGTATGGTATTTTTATTCCTGCAGCAGCATACTTGCATTATACGCACACGGATCCACTAGCGCAAAGGTATTGAGGAAAGATTGGGAGTTAGTCTCGCGTAACCTCTACTGATAGGTAAATTTATAATCGGCAAAAGTGTGACATTCAATATAAACAATGTTTTACGTGCCTCGCGAGACCATATGATACGCCAAATCAAAGAATCGTTCTATTGTAATCCTCACCATAAAATACTCCCGCCAACGCTCAAAATATTAAAATTACTAATAATTCTTTAGGGTTAGAAACGCAGACTGCGCTGGAAACTTTTAAATCATTCCTAACGTAACTGGATAATTACTAATTTCTTATTTTAAAACGTCGCGGGGGTGTTTTTCTCAAATCTCACATTTTGCATCAGTATCTGGGCTTTGTATAAAAAATCCAAACGAAATTATGAAGGAATATATCGATGCCTACGCAGACGAAAATGCAATAACAGATACATTCGAGATGATTTTACGGTGTTTCTATTTTCGTCGCATTATTGTGTTTGTTCGCGAACAGTGCGTCGATTTACCTGATCGAACAACCGGGGGAATCCCCTTGTAAAGTCACAGGTTTTTGTCGACTCGTCTTTGTCTGCGCTGTGTACCCATACTTCTGTTTTGCGATTAATATTCGTGTTTGGAATTTAAAGAGAGTTGCAGTGATTAAGTATCAACTTTGACAACATATTTTTATAGCTCATTATCTGGTAAGTTGGTTACTTTATATGTGTATTCTTGTTTGTAACTAGTCTGGGGTAAAGTTAGCACGGGTAATAGAATTAATAAAAGCTTAGGCCTATGCTTGACCACGGCCTCGCCGTATTACCAGCCCAGATCGGGTTTATGAATTTATCGCTTCAGATGCGTGGTTATGATCCATACTAAAATAATCCTTGAGCAAGATGTATCATTTTGGGCGTTCAGTCGCAAACAGACGATTCTTTATTTACACCGTACCGCAATACCGCATTTTATATCGTACGCATGTTTGAATGTCAAAATAGAGGAATAATAATGTACGAGAGAAGAACTTGAACTCCTGATTGTCCAAAATGTATAATATTAAATCTCAACTTTATTTCAAAAAAAATATTTTATGCTCCAAAAAGGTTCCTTGAGCAGTGATAAAATAAAGAGCAAATAATCCTTGAGCGAAGATGTATCTTTTTGGGCGTTCAGTCGCAAACAGACGATTTTTGATTTACACCGTACCGCAATACCGCATTTTATATCGTACGCATGTTTGAATGTCAAAATAGAGGAAGAACTTGAACTCCTGATTGTCCAAAATGTATAATATTAAATCTCAACCTTATTTCAAAAAAAATATTTTATGCTCCAAAAAGGTTCGACAATGGCTTCGCGAAGTTCTACTCCGGTCGACTCCGAATACGATATAGATTCAGATATTTATTTCCGTCATGCATGAAATATTACAGTATTAAAACAAAGAACACAAAAATAATTCGAAGAACACAAAAATAATATATATCCCATTGGAGTAAGTAGATATTCTGTTTGGTTACACTAACTTTAACAACGACACTTTTCATATTTCTAATCTAACTCAATTATGCAATTGTATTACCCATTATATTGTACATGGTAATCTATGTATAAACTTGATCGACCATTATTTCTCATTGCTGTAAGTTAGGCGGCCACATTTCAGTATTGAAGGCCCGACTTGCAATTACAATTTCAATTTTTTAACACTAAATGTAGTAGATTAGATCAGGGCTTCCCAAACTTTTGAGATGGCGGCCCCTTTTTATAAATTAAAATTTTTCGCGGCCCTTGTTCACGTAATGCTAAACAGTTCGAAATGTGCATTTTTAATATTTTATTGATACAGCTAATTCTCAACTTTTAGTAGGCCTACTCAATAACAAAAGCAAGCACATATTTACTCAGGTTTATGGGTGCGAATGCTTTTTGCTGCATAACAAGTCCAGCCGTGGCTCAATGTTTGTTTATGCAGGCCTAAATGATGAATTACGATTTCTGGCCACCGACGGCATGGTTCTTATCCGGAATTGTTACTCACTCTTATTGATCAAATTTAGGCAGCGGTTTGTGTGACGACAATTTGTCAGGGAAACTCGCGGCGCACCTACACAAAAAATATGCTGCCTCAAAAATATTCACAATTTTGTCGTCGTTAATGTGTACTTTATGTCTTTTGAGTTTTATAAACATGTAGGCCTAATGAATAAAGGCAGAGGTTAACTTTTATTTCTTATCCCTGCCTGGTTTTCTTGAAAATGCTAAAAAATCCCCCATGTTCGATAATCTCGGTTCAGCAAATGAATAAACTGCAGCCTACGAAATTGCAGCTCTTCTGTTACGCAGCGATAGACCCTACGTAACAGAAAGTGAACAACATAGAATGGTAAAATGAATTTGATTCATAAACACATCATATGCAATAAAGAGAAAATAAAATATATTCAGAATAAATAATATATGTGAAATATGCAATGAGAAAATGAATGCAAAATCCGAAAATGAGACTGAACCTGAATTTTAAAAGTACAACAGATAGAGTACTTTGTGTAAATTTGGTGTTCTCTTTGCGGCCCCTAAAATTCGTTTCGCGGCCCCTTCGAGGGCCGCGGCGCCTAGTTTGGGAAACCCTGGATTAGATAGTTATTCATGAAAGAATTCGTGAAGCGCAGGATTTAATAGTTGGCTTTGAATAGCTCATGTACATTGAATATTATCATGTACGCCGACTTTAATACTTCTATTTTAGTTGGCATCTATTTTTCTCAAGTAGAGCCACGATTTCAAAATATCGCTGATGGCAAACAAATAACAATTGTTAAAGGAATGAAATAAATAATGAAAGTAATTGTTTGTACTAGTGTCGTTTAGTATCTGGGCAAATCTGGGTTACGAAATTAAATTTTTACAAAATAGCTAAAGGCATTGCTATTATAATATTGATAGCCCGTTGCTAATTTACACTACGATTTTTTTCAACGTTCAACATACTATGATATTTATTTATTCAATTATACTATTCCTATTTTATTACAGCGGTCGGTGAGTACAGTTCTACTAATTCTGCTATTTCAAAATTACCAATTTATTCTCTTTTGTCTACTTACACATTTTCATTAGAAATTGAACATCTTATCAAAAACAAACCCACCGTTCCATGCTTTCGCCCTCCAATCTCTAAAACCATCAAATTCTGCACTAGTTGCGAAATGTTTCATGAAAACAATTCAGTCCAGGCTTGTAAATATTTCTGTTCTAGCTAGAATGGTTCATTCATATAATTCTATTCTATCATTTAAAGCTTCTACGTAAAAAATTCATTTAGTTCTATTAAATAATATTGGATCATGTGAGCGTAGCCAGCTGTTTCGTGCATGTATGATAGAAAATCCGCACATCACATTAGAGGCCTCATGACCGTTTATTGATTTAGGTTAGGCAACCACATGCCATGGGCGATGGGTATTTGTGATTCCAAATTCTATCTTTGAACACTCAAACTAGTATACTAGAGTTATTGATGAATGAATGCGCGGGAAACGCAAAACTCACCAGTAGATTTTGAATATCTCATGCCCATTGAATATTTCCATATACCTGGGGCCTCCTATTACATTGTGCTACAGAACAGTGTTGCCCAACCTATGGGTCGTGAGCCAAGGCTGGGTCGCCTGAAAATTCTTCTGGCTCGCTTGTTTTTTCAACAAGAACCAATTTTAATATATTTTGCATTTGGTATCAAAGTGTTGCACAATGTAATTGTATATGGGGGAAGTATTGCAGCGAAAAAACTTTGAAGCGTCTATTTTACACAAGTAAAGCCATGATTCAAAAAAATCGCTGATGGCAAACAAATAATAATGAAATGTATAATACGGAAATAAATGTTGAGTAAAAATCACTGTTTTGCATTAGTGACGTTTAGTATCCGGGCGTATCCCTGGTTCGTGAGATTTTTAATTTTTTACAAAATTTGCTATAGGCGGGCAGTCTCATTTTATTATTGATAGCCCATTGCTAATTTACACTACGATTTTTTTCAACGTTCAACATACTATGCTATCTAGTTATTCAAATATACTATTCCTATTTTGTTACAGCGAGGGGTGAGTACAGTTCTACTAATTCTGCTATTTTCAAAATTACCAATTTATTCTTTGGTGTCTACTTACACATTTTCATTAGAAATTGAACATCTTATCAGAAACAAACCCACCGTCCCATGCTTTCGCCCTCCAATCTCTATAACCATCAAATTCTGCACTAGTTGCGAAATGTTTTATGAAAACAATTCAGTCCAGGCTTGTAAATATTTCTGTTCTAGCTACAAGGGTTCATTCATATAATTCTATTCTATCATTTGAAGCTTCTACGTAAAGAGTTCATTTATTTTTA